CATTTCAGCTGGGCACCAGCAGCTCACGCCTGTAATCCCAGCTACTCGGGAGGCTGAGATCTGAGGATCATGGTTCAATGCCAGCCCGGGCAGGAAAGCCTGTGAGACTCTTATCTCCAATAAACCACCAGAAAACCAGAAGTGGCGCTGTGGCTCAAGTGGTGGAGCACTTGCCTTGAGCTGAAGAGTACAGGGACAGCGCCCAGGCCCAGAGTTCAAGCTCCGCAACCCGACAAAAACAGCCATTTCGCAGGCAGGCCCTAATGGCTCACACCTATAAATCCTAGCTACTCAGGAGACTGAGACCTGAGGATCCCGATTTGAAGCCAGCCCGGATAGACAGATCCAAGAGACTCTTATCTCCAATTAATCAGCAAAAAGCCACAAGTAGGTACATGGCTCAAATGGTAGAGTACTAACCTTGAATGAAAAAGCTAAGGACAGCCAGGCCCTGAGTTCAAGCCCTAGTACTAGCACCCAGAAAAAGTCACTTAACTCTTCTTGGACGTTCTCTTTCTTCCTCTTTCACCTAAATAATTAAGATGTCGGATGACAATGGGATGTCTCCTCGTGGCAAGGCCGCATTTTGACTAGCAGAAAGCATTCATTTGCCTGTCTCACAGATTCTTCTTAAAAGATGCTGTAGTGGCGAGATGTCACAGTAACAAAGCATATACACCAACTGTGTACTCTAGGTCACTGTCATTATAGCCAGACTCTTCAAATGCTTGCAAAAAGGGGGAAAAAATCATTTTTCCTTCGTTACCAGTGAGCCTGAATTGATGCTATGAAGCAATGTTCAACTTCAAGTACAGGGTCCCCTCTTTTGCTCATTGGCTAGCGTTCTACCTGTGAGCCACATCCTCGCCTCCCTCTTCTCTTTCTTTTAAGCTTTAGGAAAAATAAAACCAACTCCTTGGGAAGGTGGCTGTCCAGAAGCACTTTGCTGGTTTTGGTGACTCGGCTATGTTGGTTTAAAACAGTTTGTCCTCTGGGAAATTCATCGTGCTGTTCTTTGTTTCCTATATAACTAAGATTTTTTTTTCTTTCCATAATCAAGTTAAAGGCATTTTTTCCACTTCCTGGGCACATGGTATTTCCACAGAATCGTAAACACAGGGTTTCTCGCAGTGATGAAGCTTTTATCTCTTGGTAACTGGAGCAATGTGGAAGTCCAGAAAACCCCACATAGAACATTCTCTTTGCCTGACTTTTGTTGCAAATGAGGGCAGGCTAAGGTCTGACTACCAGCTGGACCGTCAGAGCAGGAGACAGGCCAGTCCCAAGTGGACAGGTCAGGGCTCATGCTGGCTGAGCTGGTCTGGAGTTTTTCAACCCTTGAGGGGGGTGGGGTGGGGGGAATGGAGGGTGTGAGGCTCTTCCTTGGGAATCTGACATTGGGTATTGGGGAAGTTGTGCTTTAGGGGGTACAGAGCTGAGAAAAACCGAGCTTGAGAAAGACATCAAAATGAGGTATGACGATGAAAGGGCTGTGGATAGAGCTCAATTAAAAAAATAAAACATTTTAAACAGGAAGATGAAGACAATTGAAAGCATGTCACAAACCCTGCGCGCAGGGAGCCTGAACACAGTCTGTGCCAGCTCCCCTTCCCTCCAGCCTCAGTCCCGCGCTTGCAAACCTGCACGGGGCGCACCTGAGCGAAAGAGAAACAAGTCCAGCCCCCACGCCCTGGGGAGATGCCAAGAAAAGCTGTTCTGGATTTAAACTAGAAAGTTAAAAAAAAAAAAAAAAAGTGAGCTAGTCTGGACCAACTCAGATTTCCTATGGAGAAGCCAACGCCTATGTTGACCCGACATTCAAAATACTACCTGCCACCTGCCTTCCGGGAGTTCTAGAGGCCAAGACCCACAATGCTACCTGCCTGGATTAAGCACCTCTGCTTACAGCCCTGACTTAGAGCATTTGGAGATGGGACCTTTAGGAGGTCATCTGGTTTAGACAGGGTCCCGAGGGCGGAGCCCCCAAGGAGAGGATTAGGACCCTCATAAGGCAATCATTTGCACACCAAGAAGAGAAGCATTGCCTAGCAACCACATCAGCCCAGCATCTTCCCCTCGGACTTGTAGCCTCCAGAACTGAGGAGAAATAAGTATCTACTGAAGCGGCAGCCCTGCCTCCAGTCGGCGGTGTTTTGTTACAGCAGCTTGAGCTGACTAGACAGAGCAGATCTGTGCAAGGGGGATGTCCGCTGTCCCTTGTCCCCTGGTTCAGTGCCACCTTCACCGGGAAGTCTTGCCCTACTTTCAATGACATTCTCTCCTCAGCTAATCCGATGAAGCCATCCGTACCTGGGATATGTAACAAGTTTTCCTGAAAATACTGAGAGGTATGTGCCCCCTCTACTTCACCTCCTGAGTCAACCCTAACCCAAGCAGAGGCATCTTCCAGGGGTTCCTGCTAGTGTTTGGCTGGTTTTAGACTTACATACTGCAGGACAGGCTTCTGGGTTACACGCTTCCTGTCCTGTGTTTTTCCTTGCCTCTCTTCCTTCACCCCGCCTCCTTGAGTCCCCAAGGCCAGTTCTGCCACATGGCTGTTTGTTCCAGTGTGATTCTTTGGTACTTTTTTTTTTTTTTTTGAGGGGGGTAGTCGCTCGTGGGGCTTGAACTCTGGGCCTGGGTGCTGTCCCTCAGCTCTTCAGCTCAAAGCTAGCACTCTACTGCTTGAGCCACAGCACCTCTTCTGGTTTTCTGAGTGGTTTATTTATTGGAGATCAGAGTCTCATGGACTTTTGTGCCCAGGCTGGCTTTGAACCGAGATGCTCAGATCTCAGCCTCCTGAGGAGCTAGGATTACAGGTGTGAGCCACCAGTGCCCGGTGAACATTAACATTTAAAATGTGCATCTTACCATACAATTATTGCCCTCTTTTTTCTCCTCTAAAGGCAGACACATTTGACCAAAAAAAATGCTATTCCTATCATTTCACAAAAGGTATTTATTCTCTGGATATGAAGGGATGGAATTACCGACAGCCCTGGAGGTGAAGTAAGTTGAATTTAATGACAAACTTGGAATATTATTCCTGTTTTTCATTCTTCAAAGGACAGGTGAGATTGTAGCCCAGAGAAGACACCCCCTGGGCAACTGGGGGAGCTCTGCTTATGATCTGCAGGTAGTAAGTGGCCGTTGGCCTTGGTAACTCTGAAGCCCGTGTCAGGCCTGGCTGTGTGCGTGGCCTGTGTATCAAGCTATTGGCCATGCATTCATTCAGTCTTTCCACAACTGTGCATTGAGCTCCTACTAGTTCCTGTCATCCTTACATTGAGGACATTACAAATCACTTTTCTCCATTCCTCTTTTTGTCTCTTGCTTTCCTTTGTTTTTGTTTAGTTTTTTGGTTGGTTGTGGATATTGAACTCAGGGCCTGGGTGCTCAAGGCTAGTGCTCTACCACTTTGAGCCACAGCTCCACTTTCATTTTTCTGGTGGTACACTGAAAAGAAGAGTCTCACAGACTTTCTGGCCTAGGCTGGCTCTGAATCACACTCTTTAGAGCTCAGTCTCCTGAGTAGCTAGGAGTACAAGCGTGAGTCACTGGTGCTTGATTTCTTTGTTTTTTTTTTTTCTGTTTTTTTTGGGTCCAGTCGTGGGGCCTGAACTCTGGGCCTGGGCGCTGTCCCTCAGCTCTTCAGCTCAAGGCTAGCGCTCTACCACTTGAGCCACAGCGCCACTTCCGGATTTTTTCTTATGTGGTGCTGAGGAATCGAACCCAGGGCCTCGAGCATGCAAGGCAAGTGCTCTACCACTGAGCCACCTTCCCAGCTTTCTTTGGTTATTTTGATGGAAATAAAAATTTTAAGCTGGGCACTGGTATCTCTTGTAATCCTAACTACTCAGGAGGCTGAACTCAGGATCATGGTTCAAAGCCAGCCTGGGCAGGAAAGTCTATGAGACTATCTCCAATGAACCACCAGAAAACTGGAGTGGAACTGTGGCTCAAACTGGTAGAGTGCTCACCTTGAGCGAAAGAGCTCAGGGACAGTGCCCAGGCACAGAGTTCATGCCCCACAATTGACAAAAAATAAAATAAATAAAATTCCAATTATTGGGACTCCTTTCCAAATGGCTTTTTTTTCCCCCTTTCATAGCTTTCTTTTTGCTTTCAAACAAACTGATGCTGCTTTACCTTAAAAAAATAAAATCAGTTCTTCCCACAGCTCTATTAACTATTTTCTTGTTACGGTGGTTTGACCTGGGGGCCACTGAGGGAAATGACCAAATGAACATAACAACACAATAATACAATAATAATATTACAGAGACTGTCTCTTAGGACAGGAAGGAAATTATTTTATCAGGCCACAGAGACTGTCTACCCTGTGCACTGTGCACAGCTGTCTGTTCATGTCGTCCTGGTTTTTAGTGTCTAACATGAGCCCACCTTCCACCAACAAATACCATACTCTCTTTTTGTTTGTTTGTTTTTTTGGGTCCGGTCATGGGGCCTGAACTCTGGGCCTGGGCGCTGTCCCTCAGCTCTTCAGCTCAAGGCTAGCACTCTACCACTTGAGACTTGAGCCACAGTGCCACTTCCAGCTTTTTTCTTTTTGCTTATGTGGTGCTGAGGAATCGAACCCAGGGCCTCAGGCATGCAAGGCAAGCACTCTACCACTGAGCCACCTTCCCAGCCCCAATACCATACTCTCTTTACTATCACATTGCTAGCAATTCTTCTTCTGGTTATAGTAACTACCACCCATAAAGCTACCAAGCTATTTCAAAATTACAAACAAAAGTTAATCATGTAAAGGTAAGATCAAAGGTGTTTGAGTAAGCATTAATATTCTTGAACAAATTGGAGTATTCAAATTATTACATTATATGCAATGATGTATGTTATACGCAATGGCTATGTTTAGCCATTTCTGGTTCTGAGTTATACCTATTTTTTTTTAATTATGAAATGGATAAGACAAATACAAGGAATCTTGTTCATTAAATATTCTCATTAAGTAAAAAAAATTAAATGAAACTTACTGTGTATTCTGATTCCACATGTCCAGGTAGAGAAGAGAGAAAAGAAAAAAAAAGAAAATTATTTAGATCACACTTAAGTAGAACATAAAACCACAAAGCTAACAAATACAGATTACACCTAGTGAGGTATAATTATTTAAAATCTGGTAAAGAACCCCCCCCCAACATGAGATATTCATAAACACTGAATGTCTCTATGATGTACTGAGTCTGGAACTTTTCCCAGGATGCTCTTGTGGTTGGCCAGATGAGGACAATAAGACAAGATTCAATTAGCTCATAGGTTTGTGGCTAATTAAAAACCGAAGTGTTGGCATTGTCAGAGCAGAATTAAAGACTAATAATTCCAGCTGAGCATTTCATTACCCATCAAAGAAATCTTTTAAGTGGGAAAGCGGCTTTTATAACCCATATGAAGAGCTTGTTACTGGGAACTTGAAGTAGGATCTTGAATTTTCGCGTGTTTGGGAACAGGAGTCCAACTGTCTAAACGTAGGGGCCACAGTTTGTGGTCGAGAGAATGTACCATCGTTGCATTAAAAGGGAAATGGATTATAAGGATTTTTCACATTCTCCAAGAGAAAAAGGATGTTGGGGACATCGAGAGAGACTCATTAGACACTTTTCTATAAATTCACATCATTTAGAAGGGCCAGGATGTTGTAAAACAAGTCAACAGCTAGTCTGTGGACATCTCCCAGGGAGTGGGAAGGGAAAGGGGGTCAGGATAATCAAATCTCTAGAAATATCATTAATAGTTCTTCTTCACAGGCCCCCACAAGGTTCTGCTCAGATAATTGGAGGCAACTCAGGGAATTTCAGCTACTATCGCAGCACAGGGCAAATTTCAGGACTTACCTGTAATTGTGTAAGGATAGTAGTTCCACGCCTTCTCGGTCACATAAAATATTTTGGGGACCACAGCTCTAGCCCAACTAGGCAGTTTGCTAAGAGGAAAGAAAACAAGAGGGAAAGGAAAAGAAAGCAATTAGAATCGAATCAGAGACTCATTTTATCTAACTACAACTGGAGGAATTCTGGAGTATTTATTCTCCTTACACCCATTCTTTCTCCATCTCTGGTCCTTATGGTATCAACTATTTTCTGTGCCCTCAAAACAAGCTTCTACCTAATTTGGGGAAGGGCAGCTCCTTGGGCTCTGGGCCTATCTCCATGGATTGGATTTGCAAGCTCGGGAGAATTTGAGTCCTGGCAGTTGCCCTGAATGGGCACCAGTCCTTTGTCTTCTGGGAATGGAACAGGGGAAATGGAATCCATATATGTGTGAGCCCAAACAGGTATCAACAGAGGCAAATGCCAGAGACTGGACTCAACGTGACAACCACATGAGTGGTCTTTTTATGTGGGTGTGCCAGTCCTGGGGCTTGAACTCAGGGTCTTGACACTGTCCCTGAGCTTCTTTTTGCTCAAGGCTAGTGCTCTACCAGTTGAGTCACAGCCCTACTTCTGGCTTTTTGGTTGTGAACTGGAGATAAGGAGTCTTATGGTGTTCTCTGCCTGGGCTGGCTTCAAACCATGATCCTCAGATCTCAGCCTCCTGAACAGATCACAGCCTTCTAAATAGGATTAGTGGTGTAAGCCACTGCACCTGGCATGAGTGACTTTTTTTTTTTAATGGACAAAAGCCATAGAATAAGAAGCTGGCAATGCAAAGAATGAAACACAGCTCTTTGATGACTGAAACACATTGGCGCCATCTCAGATTGGACCATGTTCCTCTCCAGTGCCTGGGGAATAGGATCTGATTTGAAAATAGGGTCATTGAAAATGTAATTCAGTTAAGGATATCAACATCAAATTATCTGCTGGGCACCAGTAACTCATGCCTATAATTCTGCCTGGGGAGACAAGTCCAAAAATCTCTTGCTGCTCTAGTTAACTAGCAAAAGCTAAAAGTGGAGGTGTAGCTCAAGTGGTAGAGATCCAGTACCTTGAGTAAAAAGGTAAGAGTATGACACCTTGAGGTCAAGCACTAGTACACACACACACACACACACACACACACACACACACACACACACACACACACACACACACACACACACACACACACACACACACACACACACACACACACACACACACACACACACACACAGAGTTGAAGATCAAATTATCTTGGATTTAAGGGTGAGCCCTAAATCCAGTGACTTTCTTTTTTAATTTTCGTTTTTGTGTGTGCTGGTTCTGGGGATGAACTCAGGACCTGAGCACTGTCCCAAGCTTTTATGCTTGATACACACACACACACACACACACACACACACACACACACACACACACACACACACAGGTGTGAGTCCTCCCCCCCCCCCCCAGTTAATTAGAGATAAGAGAGATAAGAGTCTTAAGGACTTTCCTTCCTGCACTGGATTCCACCTTTCATCCTTATCTCTCAGCCTCCGCAGAAGCTAAGATTACAGGCCTGAGCCAGCAAGACGCTGGACAGCCATTTGTGGGAAAACAAATTCTCAAAAGGCATGGTTCCGGAAGGCTTTCTACAAACCAACTTCTAGTTAAGTACTCCCCCCCCCCCCCCCACCCCCGCCAAGTCATAGGGCTTGAATTCTGGACCTGGGTGCTGTCCCTGAGCTCTGCCACCACTCCTAGTTTTCTGGTAGTTAATTGGAGATTAGAGTCTCACCGGCTGGGAAGGTGGCTCAGTGGGAGAGTGCTTGCCTTGCATGCTTGAGGCCCTGGGTTTGATTCCTCAGTAACACATAAGCAGAAAAAGCCAGAAGTGGTGCTGTGGCTCAAGTGGTAGAGTGCTGGCCTTGAGCTGAAGAATTGAGGGACAGAGCCCAGGCCCAGAGTTCAGGCCCCACGGCTGACAAAAAAAATTAAAAAAAAATTCTAGAAGCCAGGTGCCAGTGGCTCACACCTGTAATCCTAGTTACTCAGGAGGCTGAGATCTGAGGATAACAGTTCAAAGGCAGCCCAGGCAGGAAAGTCCAAGAGACTCTTATTGAGACACTCTTACCTACAATGCACCATTAGAAAACCAGAAGTAGCACTGTGGCTCAAGCGGTAGAGCGCTTGCCTTGAGCTGAAGAGCACAGGGACAGCATATAGGCCCCGAGTTCAGGCTCCATGACCAACAACAACAACAAAAAGTCTCATGGACTTTCCTGCCCAGGCTGGCTTTGAACCATGATCATCAGATCTCAGCTTTCCTGAGTAGCTAGGATTACAGGCTGAGCCACCAACGCCCTGCTCCAGCTAAGTTTTATGTGTTTATTTCTTTGTTTTCTTTCAGGGGTAAACTCTTGCAGAGTAAAAGCCCAGAGAATTCCTTAACTATCCCTTGTTATATTTAAGGAATAGGTGAGATTAGTCCTCAAAATATAGCTGCCTGAGTTTATTTCCACCCAGTGTTTTAATCAGGAGTGTTCTGTCTTTCCAGAAGCTGCCATTTTGTCTTTGCTGTTTGGAGGTCTACTGCAGAGTCTGGATGCCAACCCTAGCAGGGCAGATGATGTCTGTTCTCGGTCCTTGGGGCTGAAGGCTAGCAGTAGGGGACATCAAGAAGCAGTTTTGAATTCCAAATAGATCGAACTAAGAAAGGAAATACAGCCAACTAGTAGTACAACCCCAAACCCCCAACTCCCTTTTGGTGGTGAGACATAAATCTCAACCAGAGCCAGTGAAACACTGTCCGGTACCTCTCGTTTCTGATAATACTCTGTGCAAAGTTCTGGGTTATTTATCAGAGTCAAAACCAATATGGGAGAGACATTGGGTGAAAGCTGATGTTCTCAGGTTCTGAGGAGAAAGACAAGACCAGGCACTTAAAAAATTCACACAGAACTCTTTTTTTTTTGGTGCCAGCATTTGGGCATGAACTCAGAGGCCTGGGTGCTGAGTTCAAGGATGGTGCTCTACCATTTAAGCCACAGCTCCACTTCTTTTTGATGGTCAATTGGAGATCAGAGACTCATGGAGTTTCCTGCCTGAGCTGCCTTCAGATGGTGATCCTCAGATCTCAGCCTTCTGAGGAGCTAGGATTACAGGTGTGGCCCAATGGTGCCTGATTCACATAAAACTCCTGACTGTTGCTCTATGGCTGAATTCCTCCTGTCTATCATCTTTGTAGTGACTACTCCTCTACCTAAGATTCATTGTTGTCAAAGATGGTCACCCTTCCTAGGGGTTGTTAGAGCTTTTACTTATGCTTGATTCTTCCAGTCGCTGATGCGGAGGAGCAATGGAGGTTGATGTGAAGTGGGAAGACCCACCCGCTGGCTTAGAGGAGACAGCGACCAGCCAGACCTGCCTACCTGGACCTGGATCCTACTATTTAGCCTGAGATGATGTAACGGGCCTAATGGATAGGGCTGTGTGTTTTCAGATGCTTTTAATGGGTTGAATCAGAGTTGGAGATGTCTGTCAAGTTATGCAAGGCCTCAATTAGCTTGGACAATTTATCTTCTTCCTACAGCCCCAGGGCGCATTTCCTGCCCCCACCCCCACCCCCCTCTGACAAGGAGCCATTCACGTGCACTGTGTGTCTCCTCCAATCCACCCGCAGGGATCCATCCCTGCAGAATTCGTTCCTTACAAAACAGCAGAACCACACTCCTAACCACAGTCACTGTCTGGAAGAAAGAGGTAGAAGGAAACCATCCATGGTTGTCCATTCACAATGAGGCTTTCCCTGCTTATAAGTCATCCAGACTCTGGAGCCTAGAATCCTCAGCTTTGTTGTTTTCTCCAGCAGCTTAGCTAACACTATAACCAATGACCTTTCCCCCAATAATTTAAAAGCCATTCTGTGTGTGTGTGTGTGTGTGTGTGTGTGTGTGTGTGTGTGTGTGTGTGTGTGTGTGTGTGTGTGTGTGTGTGTGTGTGTGTGTGTGTGTGTGTGTGTGTGTGTGTGTGTGTGTGTGTGTGTGTGTGTGTGTGTGTTACTGTGGCCTGAACTTAGGGCCCTTGCACTGTCACTTGGCTTTGGTTGTTGTTGGAGACCAGGACTGTAATTCAGTATCTCTTTTTTTACTCATTGGATGACACTGTACCACCTGAGCCACACCTCCAACCTCAAGTCATTTGGCTTTCTTTTTTCTTTTGCCTGGTCGTGGGACTTGAACTCAGGACCTGGGCCTTGTCCCTAAGCTGTTTTTTTCGTTTTTTTGTCAGTCATGGGGCCTGAACTCTAGGCCTGGGCGCTGTCCCTCAGCTCTTCAGCTCAAGGTGAGCGCTCTACCACTTGAGCCACAATGCCACTTCCAGCTTTTTGTGCTTATGTGGTGTTCAGGAATCGAACCCGGGGCCTCATGCATACAAGGCAAGCACTCTACCTCTGAGCCACCTTCCCAGCCTCTCCCTAAACTTCTTTTGCTCAAAGCTAGTGCTCTCCCACTTGAGCCACAGTGCCACTTTCAGTTTTATTGGTAATTAATTAGAGATAAGAGTCCCATGGACTTTCCTGCCCAGGTTGGCTTCAAACTGCGATCCTCAGATCTCAGCCTCCTGAGTAGTAGGATTACAAGCATGAGCCAGTGGTGCTTGGCTCAGTTGGCTTTTTTGCTCAAGGCTGGCACTCTAGCACTGAAGCCATACCTCTACCCAAGGAAGCCCTTCAGTCTAAGTCCTTTATTGGGCCAAAGGCAGTAGGTGTTTTTAAAGAGGGCCCCACTGTGTTTGCTGTAGTTTGGATGCTCAATTTCCTCCAAAGACCAATGTGATCAAGAAAGCCTTGGTCCCGTGGGAGGTGGTGGGATGTTCTGGAGATGGGTAGAAGTTACATCGTTAGGACTGAGCCTTTAGAAGGGGACTGTGGGATCCCAGCCTTCTTCCTCTTCTGAGTTCCTGGCCCTGAGGTGCTGTGCAGCATACCCTCTCCTACTTTACATCACTCCATACCTCTACCACAGGCCGGAAAGCAAGGGCTCGTATCTACCACGTGCTGCAAGTTCCAACCTTGTGA